GGTTACGGGGAGAAGTTATGGCACAACATGGAAATAATGCCCCAGTACAACCGTAAAGTTTCCGTTTACTTCTATTGCATATGAATGTCTCAAATAATTTACTTGCGATTTATTTTTCTTCTTGATATAACTCATGGTTTGGCAATCCAATTAGGAGCATGTTTCGTGTAAATATTAACAGTAAAGGCATACTTCCCAGGAATTTATTCAATGTATACTCTCTAAGTAAACAAATGTTCAGCGTGCAAGAGTGTACAAGGAAACCTTGTTTACAACAGCCAGAATTACTGGCAACAATCAGAATTTCATCGGTCAGAGACCAGAAAAATAAATCACTGCATAACAATATAATAGCATGGAAAAGAGCATAGATGTACATGGTGAACTTAAAGATGTCCAAATTTATATAATATACAAGGACACACGTGCACTTGTTTATGTATTTATAAATATTTGTCTATTCATGGGATCTTTCTGGAGGGTTACTCAGGAAGCCACACGAAACATGTAGCTTGGAGCCTGGTGTTGAGGACAAGGCAGCAAGTGGAGAATGTGTACGTGAAATAGCAAGAAAGACTTTCCTTTCATTTTACATTTCTCTGGTGTTTATCTTTCGTACCATGAATATATGTTACCTCTAAAATTAAAGAAAACAGAGAAAGGGAGCGGCAGTCGAACAACTAGCAAAACAAAGATGTCGCTAGATTTTAAATTCTCATAGCTAGTCTTTCTTAAAGTAAACATGACCTCAGTTCTCTTCAGGAAGTGGGAAATGATTTCAGTCATTCCACTGAGGGATTTAACATGAAGAGCAAACAGAAGGGTGATTTAATACCCACGGCCAAGAAGGAGGTTCGTGAATTGTTTGCTTGAAAACAAAATAAGCGAAGTGTTTTGTTGGGATATTCCCACTGTACACGGCGTCACTTCGCTGTCACGGGAAGGGGGATTCTGAAGGACGGGGTCAAGGCCACTGCTACGAGCCGTGCAGTCCTTCAGACAGGGTTTGCGATTATCCAGTTTGCTTAGGCTTCGCAGGTAGTATCTGCCTCACTTAGTGCCTTTCTACTCTGTTCCACTGGTTCTCTTTTGTAATAGAGGTGTAAGTTATATTGCAAGCAGAATATTGAACATGTTTGAAAATCTGATATTTTGGCCACATGTATTAGTTTAACAAGTTATAAGAACATCTATATCTATATATCTATATCTAATCTACCTATCCCTATCTCTATCTATCTATCTATCTATCTATCTATTAATTAAACTGTGCCAGGTAGCACGCCAGCCTCTCCTGTTGTGTTCATTTATCTTCCTCCAATCCTCAAAGACAGGTTCTGTTATTACAACTTGACCTGTCTGATAAGTGAACTCAGACTCAATAGGTTATGGAACTTGTTTAACAATACATTATTCTTTAGCTCTTCTAAAATTTAACCCATCTTTACTATAAGGGTATTAAAATGTTATTTATTTATTTATTTAATTTTTTAGTACTGGGAATTGAAGTTAGCTCCTTGCGCTTGCAAGGCAGGCACTGGCACTACTGAGCTAAATCCTTGGCCCTTAAAATAAGGTTATTTAAATAATTTATTTTAAGATTGAAGAGATAATACAGACAAAAAATAAATAGATTCTTACATGCTTAGTCCAATGATTAAAAAATGAAGGAGTAATTACATTGTTATTGTAACTATGCATGGATTAGACTCACTCCTAAACTTCTAAAATCTGTGAAGCAGAGTCATTAAAGTGCTAAGATTCATTTAAGTTTTTTCAACCCAATTCTACTAACATTAGTCCAACCCTTTCCATAACATTTTAAAAATGGATTCCAGTTTGAAAAAAAGATTTTAGTACACAGCATTTTATAATGGGAAAATATAGGTTGGTAAAACGACAACCTCTGACCACAAAATAACCTATTAAAAGTAACCTTCTTAGAATTCAAAAGTTATTGAATTTTTCCCTTGTGGTTATACCACAAACCATGAAAAATGTGTGGTGTACCATGTGAAATACATTAAACTTCACTGGCGCTTGAAATAGTTCTCCTGAACCATTAGTCATACAGAAACCTAATTAATTTACTAACTGTGCATCAGCCCCCGACAGCAGGGCTCTTCGGCCTCCATGAAGTTGGGTGGCAATCTTACATGGCATCTTGTTCAGTGCTCCCCAAGGCAGGAAATTCGTGAAACGTGAAAGTTGGTCGGTTTGCTCTGTTTGGATTCGCTCTACTTCTAGAAATAGCCTGTACAACACGGACTGTTCTTTGGCTACAAAGGCTCTTAACTGGAATCAAAATGTGCTTCCCCTTTTGGACCTTTTTGTTCTGGTCCTGCCAAACAGCTCTCTCATACAGCTTCCTTTTCTGTCACAGTGCTTTGGGACCAGGGGCTCTCCCACCCCTCTAAATTCTTTCCAGGCTGGGTGTGGCCAGCCGCCTGCAGCATCCTGTGGGACTGTCCCCTGGCGAACGTCCCTGAAGACACTGCTGGGCCACTGCTGTTACTCCACAAGCTGGGCTGCCTCTGTCCTGTCACCCATGCAGCTGAGGTCTGCGTGTGTTCTGGACACAGGCGGGCCCAAAACTGAGTTTATGTTAGATTAAAATTTGGAGTCATTCACACTGAGTTTCATCTGGAGATGTCTTTCCCACCCCCATATTCAATCTGGAAGAACGATTTCTCTTGTATCTGAATGCAAGTAGCTCCCCGTCTTCACTGGCTTTTCCACTCTCAGCCCTGTAATATCTGCAAATCTGATAGGTGGTATCTTGGGTTTTCATCCAAGTCATTACTAAAAAACGCAGAATGGATCAGGGGCAGGGATGACCTTTGGCACAGCACCAGGACCTCAGTCCAGACAGAGAACAACCTATGTGAGAACCTACCTATTAAAAAGTTCAGTTTAGATCAACTCCGGAGGCATTCTGCCACCAGAAAAATCTAGGAAGTGCCAAGTACCATAATTCTAGCATATAGCTAAGTTTTATGCTATAGGATTTGGATTTCATTTTGAAAAAATTTTTGAGGGGGTGTTAGAGAACACTGCATATTTTCCATAATTAGTGTTGACAAAGAACTATAAAACACTAATTCTGCAAGTTCGGAGTTATCCCCATATGCAGATTCAGAAACAAACATTGGAGAGAGTTAATACTTTGATTAAGCTTACACAGATGATGGCAGATTCAAACCCAAGCCATGGCCCCCAGTTGTTCTAATTAGCTCTGTTAACTAAGTAATTCAATACCCTGCTCCCATCATCACAATATCCCAAGTAGGAAAATATCCCATTCTTGTGCCTGGATGATATTCTCGGAAAATAATACCACCCCACTTTCTTTCTGCCTTTATCACGATTTCAATATTGTCGTGCAATCAAACCCATATCTTCCTTATTCAACAACAAAAATAAACATGCAAGAGTTGAACACAGCTGTACATAGATATTTCATATATATACTGAGAAACACATATAAGACTATTTCAATTACCAAATGATTCAACAATTTCCTTATATGGAAAGCATTATCAAAGGCAGCATCTTAACTGAGCCATTAATTAGCAACATGATTACTGGTGATGGTCCCACCACTCAGCCTCTTTCTCAAGCAAATCAGCACAGGATAATAGAGAGCATTTGGGACACTAGTCAGGAAACGGGTGTGCAGGTTGCTCCCTAACTTCAGTAAGGCCTTCAGGAGAGTGTGCTTGGACTCCTTTGGTCTCACACCATACTCTTTTCCCCAGGGGATCTTTTCAAAGCAGTGGTGACACTTTTTGCAGGGGACCACAATGTTGATTATGCCCAAAGCAGGCTGTAAGCAGTGCAGGCCGTGAGGAGTTAACCCCACAACTGGCTGTTTATAGAAGCGAGTCTGGCTGAAGCCTATCTGCTAAGGTCAGAGTAATTTGCATCTAAATTCCTTTCCTACGACTAAAACCTTCTTAACTAAAAGGACAGTGTTCTAATTACAACCATATATTGTGTCTATTCTGTTCCTATTTCCACAATGCTTTGTCTTGTCCTTTATGAGCCTTGCTTCCATTAGTTTCCACAGAAACTGCACGACTGTACAGCCTCACATGTAGTCCTGCTCTCACACGTGGCTCACTTTCCCCCCAACTCATTACTAACAAAAATGAGTGGCTTAGACAGACTAGAGCCTTTACTAATTAAGCAGCACTGGCTGTCCCGGCTCCCCAGTGTCTCTGTCTCTTTTGGTTTTTTTCTTCAGCCTTGCATCATACGTGGGGAGGAGACTAGAGCCTACTACAGAGGTTTCCAGTAACATTTCAGGCATTCCCAGTAATTTCTGACTCAACTTTCCAACACATTTCTCTGGGGTGGGTCCTTTTTTCCCAAAGACGCCACGGAAGGTCTCACAGGTCCCTCACCACTGGCATATCCCAAACTAGACCTCTACAGCACCACTGTCCACAGATGTTCACACGAGAAACTCCAGAAGACCACAGTTTCCCTCCTGCATTCCCCATAATCAACCTCTATATCTTAAAGTCCTACATTCATTTAAAAAAAGCCCAAAGCTCGCTACTTCTTTGTTTCCACTGCAACTTGCCTTGCTCACACTAACATTTCCCCCTCCAAATTCAGAAAATGCTATTTAATCTCCCGCCACCCACTCTTTCCCACCTCCAGTTCACCAAAACAGGAACATCTTTGAAAACTCCAAAACTGTATCACATCACTCCTTTGCTTAAACTAAATCTCACTAATTCTATTATTTCCCCTAGGAAAATATTCAAATGTCTTACCATGCCGCACAGGAACCACAACACCCCTCTCATCTCCTGTACTCTTGTTTGCAATCCTACCTGCTCTCTCCTGTTTTTACAGACTCGCCGTTCTCCCTCACCCTGCAGTTTGTAGATGTCCCTTCACATTTCCATCCCAGGAATGCAGCGAGGGCTACGTGGAACTATTTCCATTTTAGCATGAAGAATAATGAATATGCCAAGCAAGGTACCAACCTGGACGAGCATCCAGCTGAACTGGCAGAGGAACAGGTAGTGGGTGACAGCAGCGATGGCCGAGCAGGCCTCCTCCGAGAGCTGGGGACTTGCGTACACCGATGCCAGGAACGCAATCTGGAAGAAGCGGACACCTCTGTTTTTAAGCCATGCTAAAATCAACGAAGAATAGCGAGGAAGCAAAGTGGTTGCTCCTCTGAACGTATGATTGAAGTATTCAAAGGGAAAGTAAATTGACCTGCTGCCCGACTCCCAGGGCGAAGACTCATCCTCAAAATGGCAACAGATGGACTTGCGCATCTCTAAGGAGCAGTGAGTGCCACACCAGTGTGCTGACTCCTCCTCTAGGCTCACCAGGGGAAACCATCAGCGTATCTCACTCTTAGAAATGAATCCCACGGAAAACATTTACTTTTGGCTAAGGAGCAAAGGAGAAACAGAGTAGAAACTCCATTCCCCAAGTGAGTCGAAGCCAGCAAGAGAGAAGAAAGAGACGCAGGTGCCCCATTCTTCACCATCGCCAGCCGCAGTCTCTGGCCAGGAAGTAGCACACATAACAGAAGACTTCAAATCAGTGTGCAACGGCGACTCCCGCGGCTGCCTTCATCTTTGGATTTTTATTTCAACCACATCCGGGCTTTGTTCAGAAGTCACCTTCACGAGGTCACCGGGACCTGCCCTCCCCATTCTTTCTTCCTTCACATAAACCCCCAACTCTCCTTTATGTACAGCAGTAGCCACCATATCTGGTATGATTTCTCGTTACCGTTAGTCTTGCCCAGGAGAATGTCATCCATAAAAGGCAGGATTTTGTCGGCTTTACCGACAGGAGAACCCCAAGCACCTGCTAGGTGCTCCATAAATGCTTGTTGAATAAATAAAGAAATGAAGCCCAACACTCCTTGCCATTCCTGCCTACCACTTTGTATTTTCTCTAACATATGACTTCTATGTCAAATTCTGTCATGAAACGTAGAGGTGGCAAAGGAAAATTTGGAGCAATAAAACTACTGTAACATCTCAATGAATAAACACTCTTAAGGAAAAGGATTAAGTTTTCTACTTACTATTTTGAGGCTACAGCTATTCCTCAAATATAGAGGTGGTAATTGTTAAAAAAGTAAATGGTTGTCTCCAGAAAGACAAATATTTGCATGCAAGGAGAAAACTACTTTATGTCTCAAAATCCCCCTACTTTTTCAAAGAAAACAGAAATGCCTTTGCTACTGTTTGAATTTCAGTTAGAAGGTGAATAATGTATAAAAAGCTAGGCATAGCAATGGGATGAAGTGTTTTTTTTTAAATGTCCAAATGAGCTACGCCCCTGTGCAATTCTGTTGGGTCAGTGGTGTGGCCGTCAACCGTCGGGAAGATTTCTGCCTGCGCCTGTTCATGGAGAGCATCGTCTGGGAAGCCGGTCAGGCTCACAGGGAGGTCTGTGCCCTGGGATCCCTGACTCACACAGAGTCCCCCCATCTGTCTAGGTGGATGCACATGGTCCCGCCTGGGACATGACAATTGGTCAGAGACTTACTCTTCCCTTGTGACGACCTGAACAAGGCATTTGCCTTTCTGGGTCTAATCCCCTCATCAGTAGCAGCAGAAAGTTGGAAGAGGTCCCACAAGGTCACTTTTTCTAGTCTAAGGTTCTAGAAATTTTCTAATAGGAAGCATTCTTGATTGAACTTTCTATTTATTTAGACCTGGATTTGGATCACTTAGGAAATATACTATTAAAACAGGTAAGTGCCAGCGTGTTAAGTAGAATCTAGAAATTTATGCTTTATTATTCCCAATCTGGTACAGATGCGTTCCCTGAAAAAATAACAAGAAATTCCTTTCTACAACACCTCACAAAATAATTTTTGAACTATTAGAACTTATTTTTAAAACATGCTTAGACTTTGCTAGACTTTAGCTTGTGTTTTGCTTCTAAATTGTAATATCTAATAGGTCATAAATTAGCTTTTCTAAATTCCATATTCACTGAATGTTTTATGTACTAAGCACCAAAAGTCTACCTTAAAGGCTTGAAAAGCACAGAATTGTGTGGTTCTGACAAAACATAATCACTTTAACATTTACAGTCTTGCTTTTTGCAGAGTGGCATTTATTTCCATACAGTGCTTACAAATGGGAGCTGATTTCAGGGACTAAGGTTAGGAATCGCATTGGTGTTTATTTGGCAGTTTTGTTCTAACTGACCTTCGATTTGCTCTGCAAAATAATTGTATAATGCAAATTGTACCTGAACATGTTGTTTTAAGCTGTGACACTACTTATAAATGGTGTGCTAATTTAAATCATACTCTTTTCAATTCTTTTTCTAAGAAATAATCTAATCAGTATAGGTTTTTGTTTACACTGAATTTACTTTCAGAATATAGTTTTAAAATTCCATGATTTTTTCATACGTTACTCTATCCCGTTCTCCCTTTCCTAATCTAGGAAAGCACCTAGGAGCGCCGCTTGAGCGGCCCTGTGGAGTGGGAGCTCCGCCTGTCCCCAGGGCTCAGCAATCAGCTGCCACAGAGCCACCACAGGCAAGCTAAATTAAAATTATAACAAAATAAAGGTTTTAAAAAAGCTACAATCGTGCAGCACGCTCACGTATCTTTAAGTTTATGGAAGCTAAGAAGAGATGTTGTCTTCGCATTTTCTACTCAAACACCTAGAGATGGCCAGGAAACAGGCTATTTTCACAGTGGTCCTCTGAGGTCAGGAAGTTGAACAGCACAGCAGGGAAAAGAAAGGTCCCCAGACATTCCTACACCAATTCCTCCAGCAGTGCCTCTGCACGTTCCCTGGGCAGGACTGTGCCACGAGGCATGAGGGACGACTGCAGAAAACGGCTGTGTGCCTCTGTGTGTGCGTGCGTGCGTGCGTGCGTGCGTGTGACTCACGTGTCAATACTATAAAAATCCTTATTATTTTTAACCTAATGTAATAAGTTACAGAAATGAGACTGATCATGTAATTAGCACATTTATAGGTCATTAAGGAAGTTTTAAAGATAAGTTAGGATTCAAATTCTGGTGTCCTGATTTGTAAGACCAGAATTCTTTCTGGAAACCACCTACAAAGCAAAACGTAGCCTAAGTCCTGAAATTCTGCTTTTTTTCAATCCTTATTAGTCCACGACTTGTGATGGCTTCATGATGGCGACAGAATATGGTGCCAATAGCACATATAATTATTCTTAATTCCATGTTGAGATACCATATAAACATCTCAACCAAGGAGAAAAGAAAAGCAGACATTTTCAATTATTGTAAAAGAGTATTTCATAGATTCTCTTTTTAACGAGTTCTGTCTTTCGGTGGACTGGACCTCTGCTCCATCAATCAGTGGGAGACATCTAGAGTGGTCACATGCATCTCCGCTTGCTCAACAATCACACCATCAGCACCGTTTCCCAGAACGACCTCAGTTCTTCTCAGAAGTCCTTAGTGTACCTGCTTCCTGCCCCCAGCTTCCTCTGCACACCCTCGCTCTTTTCTCCATGAACTTATTCTTCAGTTTTCCTTCTACTCTGAGTGATCTCAAACGTGACTAGTTTTACAGGGCCGGTTAACTCTGATCAGGATGGATCCCTCGTTTGCCTGTTTTTAAAAGTAAGACACTCCTTGTCAGTGAACGTACTTAATGAGCCAAACATCCTTTCTAGCAGGAGTCCAGCTAATGCCGAAGGCTGAAAACGGATAGGTGCACAGTGCAGTAAAACACAAGCATTAGAACATGGTACAGAATGAAGTATCAGGGGAACGCAGAGCTGACAGGAAGGGTCAGAAATACTCAGAGAGGAAACTCAAGCCCTGTAGGTCCCTCAGCCCGTCTCCTGCTGTCTACCTTTCCTTCTTCAACTGCATGTATTTCTAGTCTTACACAGGTTGCATCATCTTGCTCTACATTTTATCTCAAATTGCTGTTTCTCATCTTCCTAGGTTGAAATCATATCCGTTCTTTGCGGCACAGCTGGAATGGCAACTGTCAAGAATACAGGGCCATTTCTGTCAATCAGAAATAACCTTTTCTCTGAATTTGTCAAAGAGAAATATATTAATGGAAGGGCTGGCATTCTCATGAAGTTCAATTCTCCCATTTCTTAGAATCACTCTCTAAATGTCTCAGAAAGTTGTCCTCACGGGGGAGGTCATTTTGGACACACAGCACAGAAGCAAGACCAGGTGTAGGCAGACACAGGGGAGGACAGCCAGCCGGGAGCAAGGACAGAAGCCTTCCGGAAGTCAGACTGCAGCCTCTAGGAGGGCAAGAAAATGAGTCCTGTTATTTAAGCCATTCTATATTTGGTACTTGATGGTGGCTGTCCTACCAAACTAATACATTTATGATGTTAGTTACATGTTTTTTATAAATACCCTCAATCAGACTGAGAAGATTCCTACTTTGGTGAAAATATTTCCTTGGAACGGATACTGGATTTTATTAAATAGTTTTTCTCTACTAAGATTATAGAAATAGTTTTCTCTTTTAGTTTGTTAATATGATAAATAATTACCTAATTTTTGAATCTTTGATCAACATTGCATTTCTGCAAAGGCTAATGGTCCTTTTGACTTTCTAAAATTCTATTAGGAATGTTTGTATCTCTGTTATGAGAGACACTGTTCAGCACTGTACCACTTTACATACAGGGAAAGAATGGGAACGTAGTATCCTTTAGGATTTTTCCTCTGAATTCTGCACTACTGTTGGCAGTCATTTTACTAACGTTACAACCCTACATTAACTAAAACGCTCTCTTCTCTGGGAAATGAGCCACAATCTGTTTTAATACCTACAATTCTCCCAGGTACTGGAACTCACTTTAGCTCTATAAGCCCCACCTTCCCCTGCCATCATCTGTTTTCAGAGTGAATTATTGCTCAAATATATTGAGATAGTAAGAGCCGTTTTCTGTAGTCACCTGCTTATCCTCTGCTGGGTCTCCTCATCTCTTTGGATAGTTTCATATTTTCTGGCATCCTTTCCCCCTGCCTGAAAGACTTTACCATTTGCTGCAGTGCAGACTGCTATTTCTGACCCTGGGTGCCCCCTGGATTGATTTCAGGGACATTGGGGACTTGGGGGTATTTTGTGGCCTTTTCTTCTCATGT